TTCAAATGTGTGGTCTCCTAATTATTTTCATTTTTTAAGCATGAATTTTATGCTGAGTCTAGTGTGTGGAGTTGTTACATGTGTCAGTACTGTGATTAATTCCCCAACATCTTCACGTGGTGATAAATTACTGCTGGGGGGTCTGGTTGCCACTAAGTGGTTGCTTCAGGCTGCCTCCTTCTCTGACAATTACACTCCTCAAAGTGATGGCTTTCTTCCTTTTTATTCCCCTCCTCCCCTTTTTCTCCAAACAAATGTTTCCACTGCACATCCATTGTAGATTGGACTAATGAGCAAAGAAAATGGATTATTTTCTTATTGTTGCTCATTTTTAAAGATACAGGTGAAGAGGTAAAGCCTTATGATTTCAGGCAGAAGATGGACATTCTGATTATATTTCAGTTTCTTCTCACACCCTCTGAACTGCTATATATTTTAGCACTTCAGAAAATACACAGACACTCCCTGGTTTAATCATCAACAGTGGCATCACCTGTAGCTTGTTTATTACACTTTCCATGACCTTTTCACATTTGCTATGATCTTATTAGTAACCTCCTGAGGGTGTTAGGTAGATGTGATGCAGACTGCCATATTTTACTGTCAAATTTACCTCTTGAACACATAGCTGTATGTTATTTCTCATACTTCTGGTTAGGTGAAGCCCATGTGACTGGATTCCAGCCAATGAAATACAGGTAGAAGTGATGTGTGCCACTTCTAGGCCTGGTCCCTAAAAGATCTTGATCCCCCATGCTCTCTGTCTTCTATCTTCTCCCAACAAGATACGAGGCCCTGGTGTATTGCAGAGCCATGAGAAAGAAGGTGACAGGGTCCATGAATGCCTGCATGCAGTGGGGACCTCAATTCCAATCCCAGTGAGTCTCATTGGACAGCGAAGTGAAAGAGAAACAATCCACTGAGCCTTGAGGGGCTGTTTGTTTCAGCTGTTAGCCTATGACACATACAGTATGATTGGAATCATCTCTCTTAAGTAATGACAACGTAGGCATATAAAAGCTATGGGAGTTGCTCACAGGCATCAGAATTAGTAAGACCAGCTGAAATTTATTGCTTAATCTCTGTGAGACACTGTGCTGAATGCTTTATACATGTGCTTTATGCATCTACTCCTCACAACAAAGCTATGAGGAAGGCACTACACAGTAATGTGCTCATTTTACAGATGAGCAAACTGAAGTTTGACTTAGGAAAGTGGAGGACATTGTCATTTTCTAAAAGACTACACAGCATCGGGGGATGGTGGTGCTGTGGGTCCTATAGTAGAAGTGGCTGCTGGTGTGAGGCACGCACACCTCCATTAGGTGTGATGGTGGCTGTGTGCTGCTGCCAGCCTTCCCATTGACTCTGTGTGTTTGGTTGTCTTTCCAATAAATGACTTTCCTGCTTAAATTGATCATACTCAGTTTCTGTTACTTGTGAATATAATCCAACTCTGTACAGAGAGGTTGAGTGAATTACAGATCACAGTGCTGATAAATGGCAGAACAAAGATTTTAATCTAGATCTGTCTGATCCCCAAACCTGTACCTCTAACCTCTATATTTCTTAACCCAACTGAAACTCCAACTATATGACTTTGTCCTGTCAGTATCATTGG